TTATAAATATACAGGCATTGCACTTATAGTTATAGTATCCAGAGAAATACGTAGACATCGCATTCCTAGTGAGAGTGATCGAGATATAAGGAAACATTACTGTTGTTACCACTTGGAGACACCGCGAAACACACAAATATGACTTCGTCGTGATTTGATCTGTTAACGCGTTGGCGTAATTTGGAAGATCATTATTTTCGTAGGAGCTGTACATAAACGGAAGTGACTTAAACACTGCTGTTAGTTTAAATGCCCATCAAAGTACACCACTGCCACAAATAACTTAAAACACATGCAGTAAATTAATATTTCGTAAGAGTGCACAATACAACTTTGGGTTAACAACTGAAATACATTAATATATTCATGCACGCCAATCTGTCTACAAGTTTAAATAAATTCGATAAACGTCAAACGACCTTCCGGAGCATACCCTCGACAACTAAATTGCATTCATCAGCCAGAGAAACTGACGTCAGAGTTCACAACATTTTCTGCATAACATGAAATGCATCTAGTAGTTAATGAAATACCGTTGCAGTGGGCACAAAACTATTCATAGCAATTGAAATACATTCGGTAAACAACGAACGTACAGAAGATTTCACAACATACTGACCATAACACTGGAATATATTCCGTAGTTAATGACAGTGCCGTTAGAATGCATAAGAAATGAAAACAATTGAAATGCATGGAATATTTTACGATGCAGCCGTCAGAATGCAGAATTACGGAGTCCGTGCAGTAACTTAATGCTATAAACTTCTTGTATCTTCTCGCCTGTCCTAATACCCGGATAAATAATTTTCTTTGTTGTTTACGTGAGCAAGATTTCTGTTGTTAGTTGTGTAGTTTGCCTGTGTTGAAACACACAATGCATGACATTCTTGAAATTGTCTGTAGGATCACAATGTTTACCTAATTATCGAGGTACTGTCAAGATGAATGCGGTGTATTTCTCGAGGTACTCTCGCTCAGAAGAAATCCGTTATTTTTCTGTTCGGGTAGTGTCAATAGGAATGCTGCGTCTGATCTTCTGGCTGTCCTACCACAGACTCAGCTCAGACACTAACTAGATGGCTTACAGAACCCGAAGGTTCATCACCGAATTAACCAAAGCCCTCCACCAGACCCTGTTCTGGGCCACCAAAATCCAGTCTCCTTCAACTCCCATCTCCCATAGATCCCGCCTGAGATTATCCTCCCATCTACGTCTAGGTCTCCCCAGCGGTCTCTTCCCTTCAGGCTTCCCGACCAATACCCAGTGCACACCATAATTTCATTCACATATGGAGTTAATCTCGCCAGAAGAATGTTCGATAGAATTTTGTATGACGTTGATAGCAGAGAAATTCCTCGGTAATTACCACACTCAGTCTTGTCCCCCTTCTTATGAATAGGAATAATTATGGATTCCTTCCATTCTTGTGGCATGTCTTCCTTATCCCAAATTAACTGAATAAGCTTATGGATCTTCATATGCAATCTTTTGCCACCTGATTTAATTAATTATTCTGGCTTAGACACACTAATGTAATAAATAATAGCCGATTTGTTTGGGCGCACAATCATGCCGGGCTCTGTATTTGTTGTGTTTATTGATCGTGGAGGTCACTTGGCTATTGCCCTGTATCAGGAACCCGCTGAGTTTTTTGGTGTACAACACCTGACGAAGCAGCAACACCAGAGCTTTAAATATGACGTGATTGCGCACCATCCATTCACCTTGCTGCTGGCTCTTTGCCAGCTTCCGCGTCACGTGATCACCTACGTCAGTGTGGGGCGGGGTTCTCGACTTCCATAAACCTCACAGCAAATCGGTAATTGTACGGCCACAGTAATGACGTCATAGAAAGGTGTCGTAGCAAAAAGCTGGGACTCCAGCTCATCACTGACATTCCATAGGCACGTACATAAAGACAATGAGAGCGTGGAGTACACCTGACAAATAGGAGAAATGCATACAGAATTTTAGTCTGATAATATGGAACGAAGAGACCACTTATGACAATCAGACTATACAGGTGAGTCAGAAGTATGTTTACAAACTTTGTGTGCGTGTTCCTGGATCAAAAATAAGAAAAGATGCCTTTATTGCAAAGTGTAAAGACTGTGATGTTTCTTTATAACAGATGCTCAAAGGTTGTTCCTCCATTCTCCACACATGCACGAGCACGACGTACACAAGACTGGCGAATTCGTTCGAACACACCAGGGTTTCCTCGAATCATCTGGCATGCATTCTACACACGTTCCCATAGGTCGTCTTCATTGTTTATGGGTTTTTCATAAACGACGGACTTCAAGTGACCCCACAGATAAAAGTCCAATGCAGTCAGGTCCGGTGACCTTGGTGGCCATGATACTGGGCCACCACGCCCAATCCATCGCTGAGGGTACTGTTCATTGAGATGATATCTGACGCGATGGGAGAAGTGTGCTGGGGCTCTGTCGTGCATAAACCACATTTGTCTTCTTGTATTCAGTGGTACATCTTCAAGGAGACGTGGCAAGTGTCTTACTAAGAATCACCGACATGAAGGTCCTCTTAGACGCGTGGACCAGTAAGCATGTCGCCAACAATTCCTGCCCAAACATTAATTGAAAATCTTTGCTGGAAGCTGGATTCACTTTGATATGAAGTCAATTCATTGAAACTTATTTTTGGCTATTATTTCGAAAATGAAACATTTGCGACCCCATGTTCACAGGAACATTATTTCTTTATTTTCGATCCTGGAACACGCACACGAAGTTTGTAAACATACTTCTGACTCACCCTGTATAAGCGGATAATATCAAACCGGAGAATGGTCTTTTGGGCCATGATGCCCTGGTTACCAGCGTTTCGCCTCCGTGTTAAGGGTGAAAATCTTAATATTAAAATGTGTTATAGAAATACGATGTGAGAGTGTGTGGACCAATGGCGGAATTTTTTGAACACGATATTGAGCGCTCAGAGGACGGAGCTGAGTCTGTCTGGGATTGTAGTTGCCTTGTCGGTCCGACTGCGGACAGCCGCGTGACCTCGATTGAAGATATGTTTATCAACTTGTGAAAGCGCTTGGAGTCTTCGTTTTCTCCATGCCTAAAACTCTCCTCGCATACTGATTTAAGCAGGATGAGTCAATGAAGAGAAACTTCACAATGAAGTAAAGTAGGTTACTGGCTCATTCGGTGTTGTAAATTTTTTACGTGAACAACGTGCCAGTTTAATCTAATTTGAAATTAACATTATTTTGTCTACGTATTGGATTTCGAAGTGGTTTGTGTAGGAAAATGCATCACCATTTGTACAGATATCCGCCATTGGACCCGTTCACATTCTGACATCCTGTGTCCCTAACAAAATCTGTATTTATAGGGTTATTACCCTTCCACATTGGTCCTAGTCTAGCTACCCGGCTAACATTTTGATGCTATCTGGTTAGCGGCACAATTACTAATAGTCCCTAGATCTACTCGCCATGAAATATTGTACAAATGCTCCTATTAGCTTTGCCATGCCCATTCGCTCGCATGATTTTTAATTTGATAACCACAGACTGGATTTTCATGAAATTAGGTATCATTGAGTTTTGCTAAATTTGTATGTCTATTTCAAATTTTATTCAAATCAGACAGTGACGCAGTTCCCATGAAGATCTACGTGGGTTTCTGCCCACGTGCCGAGCGTAACTCACTAAACATTTATCGGACCGAAAAATGTTTCGAAGTGAAGTTTTAGAGGAAAATTCAGCACACATTTTATGCTCGGTAAACGTTCTCCCCGTGCTTGACGGGTTTTGAGCTAATTAACCAAAATAATCTGTGTGGCGTAGCCTGTCATGTTATAAATAGCGTAAAACAGACAGGACGGGCAAACAGGACTCTACAAAACCAATTCCTCTCAAAATTAGTATGAGTCTCAAGTTATGAGATGGGAGTGAGTAATGAGCTTCACGCCTCGGCTGTTTTAATCCTGTAACCCATTGGTTACGGAATTGGGTGGGCCACAGCTGATCTGAACATTTTCTAATTAAAAGTCTAGAAGCAATAACACACCTATAGCGCCTGAATTATTACGTTACGGATACATTTTGTAACTTGTTATATTTAATTCACTGAAATGTGTGCCGCACCGGAAGGGGGGGGGGTTGTAGGTGTGAATTGCATGCAGAATTTTAGTCGGAAAAGGGAAGAAACCATTTCGAACACCTACGCGTAGTTTATTATTTATTTAGTGTTCTGTCTGACGACAGGTCCATATGAACAGGATCCTTCCATCCTTTTCTCGGACTGGGACCTGTTCATATACGTTCTTGGCAGATGATCCAGAAGTGGTTTGCCATTGCCTTCTTCTGTGTGTGAATGGAGTAATTGTTGGGATGCCAAGGAGAAACCGGGGAAGCCCCCGGAGGAAAACTCCGTGTTGCCTAGACCACGGCCTTGCCCAACACAAGTTATAAATTCGGGCACCGCCGGGAATCGAACCCGAGACCCCAGGATTACAAGGCGAGCGTTCTAACCGCTAGACCACGCGTAGATAAGAGGGTAATGTTAAAAAGGATTTTAAAGATATACGGTGGGAGTGTTTGGGTGGATTCATCTAGCTTGAGGAATTTGTTGACTACCTGACTAACTGTTGGCTTCTCAAGGTGGTCTCTATTTTTTGAGTTACAGGAGGGATGCTACGTACTGTGATAATCCGAGCGTGTGGGTTCGAATACCTCCTAATGTAAGGTTCTACATCGACTAAGAAAACTATCGATGATGAATCAGTGTGTGTGTGCGCGAGCGATCGTGCGTGTGTTACGAATTCTAATTACGAAAGACAAGATATTGTTATTTTATGACTGGAATATACAATTAATTAATTAATTATAACAAATTTCTGCACGCCGGTTGCTGAACACTGATCTAAGACGAATGTACACATAGAAAAGTGGACATTGTAAACCTTATAGGATAAGGAAATTATATTAGAGCTCCGAGCTAATAGTGTTGTTCTGTTTCAGAGGCGAGGGGCAATTTCTGTGGACAGAACCGACCAACATGCTATCTTCATTCAGATGGTTGGTAAGTATATATCCTCCGAATAAACGAGACTTTCTACTACCGAGTAGTGCAAACGTATCTTTTGTGTGTCATGTATAATTCTAGGTGCACTGAAAATATTTATATTTTGTAGTTATTATTCAGATGCAAAAGCTGTTTTCTTTCTGCTGTTTTCAAAAACTTTAGCATTAAGATAGTTACGGATTTACATTACTAAAGGAAGTCATTGAAATCATGATTTAAGAAGTTAGAAATTAAAGTTATTTAACTAACATACACGTTTTCTTTTATGAGTACGTTTTATTTAAAATTTACTTTATTAATTGGTTTGTAATATGTATAGAAATGAAGTAAAAACCCTCTATTTGAAATAATGCGGTTTTCTTAACGGTCAGTTTTTGATAAACAAGTGAATAAGAAGAAAAGTAAAATTTAAAACGTATGTTCATGCATTTTAGTGGCAGTGGAAAGTACATGAATTGGATTACACTTTTATTTATGGATATGAATATAAGTAGGTAAGAGTATATGAATAAATCTGTTGTTGAAAATGTACGCGTACCGGATTATATTTTCATCGTCTGCGTGTGTGCTTTGGAGCATTCAGAATGCAAACGAGCGAAGAACGTCTGTGGAGACTATATTCCGGTATCAACAAAATGACTGATTTACAGGACACGAAATTATTAGTTTATTTAATGTGCATAATTAGTGTTCGTACGACAAAATGTGTCTGGCATGACATCCCTCTATTAAATGTTCGATCGAATATCTCCGATTGTGCATATATGTTGTTGCGCCCGTCTGGCAAGATGCCCTCGATGGTTTATTTGGTATTACTTTTGTGGGGGTGAGGGGTAGCGAAGGAACGAGTAACTTGGGTTTTGATGATTGTGCCGTGTTCTTCCCGAACCTCCAATTTCACATGAGACCTTGGTCTTTGCAACTACCGTGTTTTTTTAGGACGTAACCCCATCGGTTGACGAGTGTTTGCTGTTTGTGATATTCTTTAAATACTCCAAAGCTAACAATCACCCGCTAGTGGCTTCTCCTTTCCTCGAGTTTCCATTTCTGTTCTGAACACTTAGCTAAACATTGGCTGACGCGCTGTGAGAGGCGAAATCTCAAGTGCGACTACCAGCTGCTCGCGTGAATCATACAAATACGAGAAGTGTTGGACGGGGCTGTGGGTCATTGAATTGAATCTTATTTTTACGCGCTGTTTCCAGTTTATTGTCGTCACTGCCCTCGTAAAATATCACATGGACGTCATTCGAACTAGTTTCGACGCCGATTTCACTCGTGTGTGTTTTCGACTTCTACATTCTACTCAGAAACGCAATGGATAAAAATCTTCGCTTTAAAAGCGACGGCGTCGATACAGGCCTCGTGTTGTTATTCGAATCCTTCTGCGCATGCGTATATTCTTGAATATTTTCGTCTTCATGTGTTAAGCATGAGTTATCTAGCTTTGTACTGGATTACTTTACCTAAGTTTTAATAAAGGCTTCGCTTGTTAGTAAATTATGTTAGACTGGGTATGGTTAAAGCACATGAGGTTATATTATTAACATTTTATGTAATGTGTCGGTAACAGAGTCTTTGATTTCTGCTGGCGGTAGTCAGCTGATAATCCAAATGCTTATAGAATGAACGTGAAAAAGAGTGGCGAATGTGCGGCAGACGCATTGCACCTATCTGTAATTTTCTCACTTCTTGTAAAAATGCCAAGTGGTCTGTCTAACTTGTGGTGGTATGATCTGACGCATTCAAGAAGCTGTAAAACGTAGCTTTAAAACTTTCTTGAATTCTGTTTTCGCTCACTGAAAACACTCGACATGGAAACGCCGTTGAATTCTAGTTTTTCTTAACCTTCACTGATATCGAAGAACACTTTCGAATGTAAGATTTGAGGTTTTCCCAGCAGTGAGTATGAAGATTTCTGTCTCCTGGGTTGTTGCGCTGTGTAGCATGGTAGATGCATCACCCTGATGTCGGGGGCAGTATGACCTCTGAAACGTTGGATAACATCGACCAGACTACCCAGCGCAACAACCCAGAAGACAGGAATCTTCATACTCATCGCCCTGATGACGGAGGCAGTATGACCTCCGAAACGTTGGTAAACATCGACCAGACTACCCAGCGCAACAACCCAGAAGACAGGAATCTTCATACTCATCGCCCTGATGACGGAGGCAGTATGACCTCCGAAACGTTGGTAAACATCGACCAGACTACCCAGCGCAACAACCCAGAAGACAGGAATCTTCATACTCATCGCCCTGATGACGGAGGCAGTATGACCTCCGAAACGTTGGTAAACATCGACCAGACTACCCAGCGCAACAACCCAGAAGACAGGAATCTTCATACTCATCGCCCTGATGACGGAGGCAGTATGACCTCCGAAACGTTGGTAAACATCGACCAGACTACCCAGCGCAACAACCCAGAAGACAGGAATCTTCATACTCATCGCCCTGATGACGGAGGCAGTATGACCTCCGAAACGTTGGTAAACATCGACCAGACTACCCAGCGCAACAACCCAGAAGACAGGAATCTTCATACTCATCGCCCTGATGACGGAGGCAGTATGACCTCCGAAACGTTGGTAAACATCGACCAGACTACCCAGCGCAACAACCCAGAAGACAGGAATCTTCATACTCATCGCCCTGATGACGGAGGCAGTATGACCTCCGAAACGTTGGTAAACATCGACCAGACTACCCAGCGCAACAACCCAGAAGACAGGAATCTTCATACTCATCGCCCTGATGACGGAGGCAGTATGACCTCCGAAACGTTGGTAAACATCGACCAGACTACCCAGCGCAACAACCCAGAAGACAGGAATCTTCATACTCATCGCCCTGATGACGGAGGCAGTATGACCTCCGAAACGTTGGTAAACATCGACCAGACTACCCAGCGCAACAACCCAGAAGACAGAAATCTTAACACTTTCGAACATTTATTAAAAACGGGCCTGGACATATCACCTGGTTCTCTGACTGTCTTACAGAAGTAACTAAGTAACTAACAGATGGTAGTTTCTCTTACGTTACTGGCCAATCACTGAACTGACTACCGAATGAGGGCTGAAGGAAAAAGAAAAAATATCGTTGACAGCAAGCGAAACTGTTTCTTTAACTTAAAGAGTGTAATAGGTGGTACTGCAGTCGGATAATATATGTATTTTCCCACACCGCTAAGTTTATTGTAAAGGCATTCATTAATACATTTCAGACAGTTTTGGCTTTTCGTCATTGTTAATTAAATAGACTTAATAATACTAGTAATTTTCATGTTTTATTACATCTCGCGTCGTTTTAATAACGGGACAAAATACCGTTACTCCATAATGTGATTTTAACGTTATAGGCCTACATATGTACAGTTTTCTCTGTTTTATTAAAATGTTTCATTTTGAAGTTGTTTGCCCCTGCTCTTAAATGATGTGTATATTTAATTAAATGTTCCCCTGAGTGGCAGAAAATCTTACTAAATGATGTAAGGGGCCGCAGAAAAAAGTTGCGAGGGGCACATGCAGATTTTCGTTTCCTGAACTTGAGGAACCAGCGAAGTATGTGAGTAGGCAGCCCGTTAAACAAATAAGAAACCAACTTTGATGACATCCGTCTCCCTTTAATAATCGATAGTTTTCAAGAGTTCAAGAAATGCGATGTCCTTCACAGCCAGCATATGATGCGGCCATATTATATTACACTGAGGCAGGTCAGTTCAGTTTACAACTTCACGGCGTGTTTATGTAATTAGCATGCCCCCCCCCCCGTGATGTTTCTCGACAAATATCTTAAGCGTTTTACACATGTCAGATCTGTTTCAAAGGGATATATAGCTTGTTATCAAACACGTGTTGGCGCGAATCTTCATAAAGTAACAATGGGCGGAAAACTGCATTGTTTCATTCTCGGTGTTCATGTCCTGTAGCGTTATGAAGTGGGAGCATTTTGTGCTAGGATCCGCGTATTCGTGTATCTTGAAACCAACCAAGAAGTGTACCGTGATGTGCCGGCAACTTGTTCTGCATACGAGGTGCGATCGGAAAGTTTCAAGACTGTGTCAATAGAGGGCGAACCGGATGTAGTACGAGCTTCTGCCGCTAGGGGATGCGGCCTACATTCATAATTAGCATTTGTTTCTTTGTTACGGGCGTTTTGGTAGTGCATTACACCGACCCTCCTGCGATTTCGGAATGGCGTGTGCATCAAATTTTGCCAAAGACTCGCCAAAACGGCTACGGAAACCTATGAAATGCTAAAGCAAGCATTTGGGGAGTCCGCAAACTTTTGTGTGGCATTCACGTTTTAAAAATGGCCGAACCTCTGTCGATGATGACGAGCGTTCTGGACGACCATTTTCGAGCACAACGCCCGAAAATGTTACGAAGATCGACGTCGTACCATCAACGATTTGTGCGACATTGTTGGGATAGGCTATGGGACCTGTCAGCTGATTCTAAAGGATGAACTCCACATGCGACGCATCCTGTCAGAGGACTAGAAGCAGAATCGACTTCTCGTTTGTCAGGAGTTTAAAGATCTTGCAAGAACCGACCCCAACTTCCTTTCTAAGCTCTGTGTGACTTCTTCCTCTTCCCAAAGTTGAAAATTCAGCTAAAGGGAAGGAGATTTGAGACGATAGAAGAGCTTCAGGCAGAATCGCAGATGGTGCTTGACAGGCTGACAAAGAAAGATTTCCAGGGATGCTTCCACACTTGGCAGGGGCGCTGGGATCGTTGTGTTCACTCCCAGGGGAACTACTTCGAGGGTGATGGATGAATTTAATACCTGAGATAAGTGTACGGGTTTTTATACGCGCAGTCTTGAAACCTTTCGATCGCACTTCGTATCCGTCTGGTGTGTTGTCTAACCAGGGGCTGAAGACGCACATTGTTTTGGGCCACTTTCTAAAAATTCTCATCGTTCATTTGTTATGCGTTATTTGCACGATGTACATCAAATCAACGCGTCGGTTATGGGTCTGGCCTT